CCATAACCAATTGCTTGCATTTCCCCTGAACACCTCTTATTGTTCATGCTTTTTCTTTCTATTCTGAATCCTTCAATAACCCAGTTAGGATTATTTATCAGTTTATCCTTGGAGACTAGACTGTAATGTCAACTATTCTAATGACTTCTTTTTTTTTTTTTTTCCTTTTTGTCTTTTTTCGTGTCCGGCAACGGATCACAACCCTCAGTGTCGTGCCCGTACCGGTCCGGGACCGGCAACGGGATCGCAACCCTCGGTGTTGCTCCCACGCCTCGCTCAGCCAGTGAGCGGGAACCGGTCTGTATGTGGGATCCGAACCCTCGGCGGGAGCGCCTGCCGCGCTTCCCAAGCGGCGCACTGTAGCAGTGCACCACCAGGCCGGCCCCTCTAATGACTTCTTTGATCATCCTTGTTTGAATAGCTCACTCCTTGCTTTCGGTCTCTATAGAATATTGGATTAGAGCAGTGGTACTCAAAAAATCTTTCTGTAGTCCCTAAGAGAATTTTGGAAGACTGTGTTCCTTTTTAATATAAATATAAAAAATGTTATATTTTTAAGAAAACATTTAAAATTTTTCATTAAATGTTTAAATAATTGCAAATGATGTAATTTCTGGCATTTTGTAAATAATGCAGTTTTAAAAATAAACAGATTACTATTTTAGATGTGTCCAGTGAAATCTAAATAGTGTAATGATAATCCATTTTTTAACATATATGAACATGTCATCATTGAGGGAAACTGGGGAAAGGGTACACAGGATCTCTCTTTACTATTTTTCTTTTCCATTCTCTAAGCTCATTTACAAGAGGCTTTCCAATATCAATTTTTCACCAAAATTGTCCCTTTATTTGGTGCCATAGAAGATTTTATATCTTGGGACAGTACAATATAGGGTTGCTTTTCCCAAACCATTCCTAGTGTATTAAAGAGAATACTTTTAAGCAGAAGAGTAACACGTTTAATTAATAGTCATTTGCTAAATCTTAGTAAAATCTTTTGGTTATACTTGCTAGAAGTATACCATAGTAAGGAGAGAGGTGTGTGTCTTTCTTTTGTAAAATGGGAGGAGAGTGAGCAGAGGGAATGTGGAAAACGGGAATGGTAATGAAATATTTATCAGAAGAGAAGCCTTTTCAGATAGATCAGTTTAGGAAAGAATGTGTTTATTTAGACATTGAAAAGCTGGAATTTGATTCACTTAAAACTATCCATACCTGCAAATCGCTTTAAAGATATTTGTGTACCCCAGAGCCCACAGATATATACATTCCTTCATTTAAGGAACTAATGGCATTTGTTTGTATCTTTGTAGATATTGGCTTATTTTTTTTGAGTTTTCATTAATTCGGTAAATACATATTCATTGTCTCTTTACTGGAATACTACATTTTATATCTAATTTTCAGTTACTTGATAAATATATAAATTGAATTGAAATCTTTGCTGAATGTACCTGTAAATAGATTTCTGAGCTAGTCCCATAAATGTGTTTTTTAATTCTATGAAGTAGATGAAATAGTAGTTAAATGGAGTGTATGTGGCTTGCCATGAAACTTGATTATTTAAAATATTCTTTTGATAGGAAAATGCAGTCTGTGAACATTTTTAGGAATGGGTAAGGATCTATTCTTCCTGTGATTGAATGAAACAGCCATACTTAAACACCATCCCTCTTTACAAAAAGGGTGTGTCCTGTTACCAAAGAATTTCAAAGAAAGCCAGTGATTTTTCCTTCAGGTATATAAATGTATTTTCTGTCAATTTCAGAAAATTTGGAGTAATCTAAAGAGAGACTCTCTTGTCTTGTACTAGGGATGACGTGGGACATCCTGGAGGGTAGAATCATGAACATAATTCATACGCATCCACAGAGAATGAACATGATCATTTACAGATTCACATTCAATAAAGAAAGGGAGAAAGATAACTGAGTAAAAATCATAAGAGAAAAGAAGATAAAGTGAGAAGGTGTGGAAGGATACTAAAATTTATTAAGGCTCTGCTATATTTCATAATTGTTGGATTCATTTCCACGTTATTTCACTTAAGGTAGTATGGATATAGAGGAGAATATTGCCTAGGGAAGACTGTGTTGATCTCTTAAAAGGTAAATGTAGGGGGAGAAAGAGAGTTTGATTTGTACATTGTACATATTTTGTTAGAGGTAAGAAAGATGTGGAAAGATGTTGCTCCAGATATTTCTCCACTTTGGTCACTAGGTGGTGACATTGTATGAAGACAGCTTGGTTGCTGGCTAGTTATATAGTCAAATTTGGTGTGGAGGTGGATATCTGTGTTTAACATCTAAGCCCAAGTGTTATCACTTAAATTTTCTTTATATTAGTCACTCAGCATGGTAGCACATTTGTGGTGATTTTATTGAACTTTTCTTTTTGATATTTAATTTAAGTTGTGTACCCTAACTTGAAGTATTTTATGAATACCTCTGTGTGATAGTAAACTACGTATGATAAATAGGTAGATGAACAAATGCCTCTGCCCTCCAAAAAATTCACACATGATAGTACTTCAAAAAGTTTGTGGAAATATTTGTATTATCTTTAAATTCTATTTTTGTACAAACTTTTTGAATTACCCTTATACTAAAACAAAATAAGTTATTTAGATGGTGTATCTAAGAAATACATTGGAAGTATATGAAGCAAAATAAAAATTTAAATGTTTGTACTATGTTTATTCTTTTACTGCTTGTGGCATAGGTATACATGCACACATGAAAATTGGGTTCAGGAAGAGAGACCAATCAAAAGATCGTCTTATTTATAAATAACCCTTACATATTCCTGGGTATAGGTAACCCACATCCCAAGGATCTTCCTACTTTCCTTTCTGTGTCCCACCACCAACTCAGCATTATTTTAAAATTCAAAACAATGGGTGAGTAGTGTACTTTTTCTTATGACTTAAAGTGACACAGTCCTTTCTTTCATGGTTCAGGTTGCTGCTTCTTGAATTAGAAGGGTCTCTGTTACCAGCTATGATATGAGGAAAATAGTTCCTTATTATTTCCAAGTTGGAACTCTGAATGTATTCTCTCATAGAAAGACTGTTTTTTGATAGTAGTTAAATATAGCTAAAGTATTATACCCAACCCTAATTTTAGAAATTAAACTCCTGGGGCCAGCCTGTGGCTCACTTGGGAGAGTGTGGTGCTGATAACACCAAGGCCATGGGTTTAGATCCCTATATCGAGATGGCCGGTTAGCTCACTTGGGAGAGCATGTTGCTGACAACACCAGGTCAAAGGTTAAGATCCCCTTATTGGTCATCTTTATAAAAATAAATAAAAATAAAAATTAAACTCTTTTCTGGGGTTTTGGCCTTTGACTCCCTGTTTTCTTTACAGAGTAAGTGATATGTAAAAGCATTTTCTTCTCTGCAAAACAGGATGTTTTCAAGTGACCATATATTTATATTAAACATGATTTATTGTGTAAAACTATCTAATTTTCTCCAGCTTGAAGAGGCTGTTTGTCCTCTGTTCTTTTATAGTCCTTTTTAAAGAACAAGTTCTACCTATGTTAATGGTGTATTGATTTTATCACCCCAACTATACTGTTTGTGTGTTGAAGGCAAACTTTCTTGCTTAGCCTTATATCTGTTTTCAACAGAATCTTGCCCAGTGCTTTGCATGTAGTAGGTGCTCAATAAAATATATCAGATGCTTAAGGACAGCTTTAGATGGTTGATACCAAAGTAGTATGACTTAAGACAATTAGCTATCACTGGAAATAACTTTTTATACTACCTAAGATGTTTAAATTGACTTAAAGTAGAAGGACTCCTATAGCCAGGTGTTTTGATTTCTGATGAATGCATGCAATGGCCTTACACGTTATAAAACATACTGGTTTAATTTTTGGAATTCAAAATGCATTCTTTTCTATCTGTCCATAAAATTCAGTCCATATATAGGAGGTTTCATTGTTAATATTACAAACTATTGATCCTTTTGGAAGTCACTGGTCCTTTTCAGAATCTGATTGAAGCTGTTTCCTCCTTTCTCCCCCCTCACATATAACTTCCAGAAAAATGCACACACATTGCAAATATAATGCTGTATATTGTTTTAAAGAGCTCATAGACCTCATGTTAAGAACTTCTGCTTTAGATTCTGGAATAGACTACAGCTGACTAGTCAAGAGGTAGCATGATATAATAGAAAAATGAGCTATATACAAAACCAGTTGATCTGAGTAAGTTCTAGCTCTTGTTCTATCTTTGATAAATGTAGTTCCATTTGGCAGATTGTTTAGCCTCTCCTTACCTGTTTTCTTCATCTGTAAAGTGGGTTGTTGGATTAAAGATTAAATGAATTAGCACATGCCATATATTTAGAATAGTATTTGGTGCATAGTGTGCACCCCAGCTTTTGTTCTCTGTCTTTTATTCTGCTATCTCATAAAGGATTTAAGAATTTTGTAATGACCTCTTTTTTCTAATTATCTTTCCTTTAAGAATATTGCTTTTGTGTATATATATTTTTAAACTTGGTTAACAACTTATTCTGTTATCCTGTAAAGCAAGTAGAAAGCGTTGATCTGATCTTTTGATTCCTCTGTACATACTATAGTAAATGAGGTACCAAAAACTGTCATCTTATTGCATGCAATGCTATAATTGAAAATTCTGAGTCAGAGGAAGTATGTGCCTATCAGTGTGTAAAAATAACTTGGGAAAGAAAGAGCACTGAGAAAATCTACTTCAAGATTTTGTATTGGTATACTACGGTAACTTGTTAAAGTAGGTGAAACTGTTTCCTATGATTATAGTTGCTAAGAATTTGTCGCTTTGAAGATTTATATATTGTATCTATTGAAAATCCCTTACTGTTTATGTAAATTTTGTTTATAAAAACAGATTCCATTAATGTCTGTGTCAGTAGCAAAAAGTTTGCCTTAAAAATATGTAAATGTTACATATTACCTAGTAAGACAAACATTTTTTTTTTTTTTTTTTTTTTAACTCTAATTAGGGAAGAAGACAAAAATATATTTGACTACTGCAGGGAAAACAACATTGACCACATAACCAAAGCCATCAAATCGAAAAATGTGGATGTGAATATGAAAGATGAAGAGGTATAAAAAAAATGCCCTGTTAATTATTTTCTTATGTTTTGTTGTTCTGCCCTAATGCCTTTTTCTAAATGATAGTCCTGTGAACTACAACTCGAAGTTCAGCATGGTTGAGCATATCAGAATACTTAAATGAGATAGTGTAACCCAGTTAAGATGCTTTTTGTGTCTGCAGCCCACATATTTCTATCCGTGTTGTAGAAGTTACTAGCTGAAACTTGAAGCAGTCAAACAACTTCCATTTGTTTGTGATAAAGGGAGATACTGTTAACATAATAAGTGAGATCTATAGGTTATATGAAAATCTCATATATAGTTTTAGTGTCTTCTCTCATGATACTTTAAACAAGTATATTATTTTTTGCTCAGTAAGTATATTTCTAGAAAACTGTCAGGATTTTGGTAAGTCCAATAATTTAAATGCTGGTCCACTATTTAAAGGGATCCTACAGTAAACTATTTTGTTAAGATATATTAATTCTTTATTTGTTTTGTGAATAAAACTGTTCACATTTTGAGCTTAAACTTTCTGACTTATAGTAGTTAACAAAGGAGCAAAATTTTCTAAATCGCTTTTAATTATTTTTCTCATTCTTTGGTGATGTTATGAAAGACTATTGAAATAGCCAAAAGGTGGTAATTGTTAGGAAGAAGACTAACAGTGATCATAGATAATCTGTGGAGTAGATAAGTAATTGATTTATATATAATTGAGAGCTCCCTATACACGTTAGCCTTTAATAATATTATCTCACTTTTAGGTAACATCTTCCCTGTGATATGTTGTCAATGGCATCTGGAATTGAAAATGTAAAACTATAACACTACAGTAAAGGGGGACCAGTAATTCTGTTTGTTCTCCACTAAGTAACAAAACAAACAGAGCCAAGAAAGATGTGGCTAGAGAAAAGGAGAAGCCAAATTGTGAAAAAATAATGCCAAATTGTGAAAATATAATACCAAGTCTTCTGATTCCACTTAGGGATTTTTTTAATTTTTTTTTTTTACTTCCCTTGATTTTATTGCTGTTTTTTATTTTTGTGCTTGTGAGTTAAGATTTTTATAAAATTGATACATGTAGATTGTTTTTTAAAAATCAAATAGGCTGTCCTGTTAGCTCAGTTCGTTAGAGTATGGTACCGATAACACCAAAGTCTGGGGTTCAGTCCCTGTAGCAGCCAGCCAAAATACTTACTTGCATCCTTCTCACATTCGATTTTAGCTCCCTTGAGGCAAAAACTTTCAATTCTTTTAGTTCTTTTGCACTTTACCTACACAATTCTAAATAATATACTTGCATCTCTTGATTTTTCAACTTTAGATATTAATTTCCTTTTGTTATATGAGAATGTAACTGTTTTACTTGTCTTTCCCTCTGTCTCTCTCTGACCCTCCTCATATAGTTATATCACAACTTTTAATTTCAGCTTTCTGATTGAATCTCGATTAAATCAATGTTAAATTATTATGACTATGTAAATACTGTTCATTGCTGAACTATGGATTTCACTATGTGTATCAGTCAGCTTTTGCTGCAGCAACAAACAACCCATAAATTTCAGTGGCCTACACCAACAACATTTATTTCTTGCTTTTATCACCATCTCATCAGGTGGGTGAAACTGTCTCATTTAGATATTCTGATATGTTCATGCTTTATTTCTTGCTTTGTGTTTATCTACCTGATATTTCAAAAGGGTTTTGGACCAGTTGAGACTTTGTTTGGGCTCAGTTCATCTTGGACTTCATGAGCATTCTCATTCTAAGATTCAATCTCAATAAATAGACACTGTGTGGCAAGAACTAAAAGCAGACAGAGCCAGACCCACAAATACATTTAAAGCTTTTGCTTGGATGTGGCATATATCACATCTGCTCACATTCCTTTGGCCAAAATAAATCATGAGGCCAAGGCCCAGGTCATTGTGGTGGGAAGTACACTCTGATTACAGGCAAGCAAAGCAATGGTAGGAAGGGAAAGAGTAATTATATAATTATGAATAATGCAATCTACATACCATGGTACAACATTTTGGTTTTTTTGAAGTTAATAATTGCCTCTGTTTTTTGTTTTTACATTTTCTTAGTCTTCTCTGTTTTATCATTAATTCTTTCCTCAAATTGCTGAACAGAGCTGTGAAACTCTTCTCAGTGCAGTCAAACACATTAGCTAATGAATCTCACATTTTTCTGTTTCTTCTGGAATTCTCCTTCCTTCTTCAACTCTAATCTGGACTGGTTGCTGTCTAGGCCTGTTGCATAGATGTTGTCCTGGGATTTCTTTTTATCACTGTCTTGGAAATTCTCTTTCTCTCTCACCTGGATTAACCTGCTTTCTAGGCCTTATGTCTTCATCTTTACTTCCCTGTTTCGATAGAGTATTTCCTCCAATACATTTCTCTTTTATTGTTTATTTTCCTGTTTTGATTGAGCATATCCTCCATTAGCTTCCTGAAAAAGGTAAATGTTTTGAGATTTTCTTTCTTGAAAAATTTCTATCAGAGTTCTTGTCATATGCCACATGTTCAAAAAATGTTTGATGAATTAATGAATAATTGAATGGATGAATATGTGAAAACTGTGTAGTGTAATGGTAAAGAGCTGGATGGTATGGATTCAAGTCCTAGCATTGTCGCTTCCTAGCTTTGTCACTTTTTTTGTTATTTGTTTGTTTTGTTTGTTTGTTTGTTTTTGGCGCCTGGCTGGAATGGTGTTATAATGCTGAGCTCTAACCAACTGAGCTAACCAGCCAGCACTAACTTTTGTCAAATTTACTCTGTGCCTCAGTTTCCTAATGTGTAAAATGAGAATAATTATAGTACTTGCCTTAGGATTTTTTTAAGGACTTAATGAGTTAACATATATAAAGCACCTAAATAGTACAAACACAGTAAGCACTAAATAAATTTTAGCTATTTTGATTACTCTTAATAATATGAATGAATGGGCTGGCCCGGTGGCGCACTGGATAGTGCGCCGCTTGGGAAGTGCGGCGGCGCTCCCGCCCGAGGGTTCGGATCCCACATACAGACCGGTTCCCGCTCACTGGCTGAGCGAGGCGCGGGAGCAACACCGAGGGTTGCAATCCCGTTGCCGGTCCCCGGTCCGGTACGGGGGCAACACTGAGGGTTGCGATCCGTTGCCGGACACGGAAAAAAGACAAAAAATAATAATAATAATAATAATAATATGAATGAAGAGTTATAATGATATAATGAAGAAATGAATGAAGAAGCCACTTAACTTTTCAAGGTCACAGTTTTTTCACTGGAAAGTATCATTTACTATACGATCCCTATTAATATTTCTATCTTTGAAATAACAAATAATACTTTTTACAGTGCGTATTACAATTTACAGAGTACTTTCATTTATTACCATATTATCTTCACCACAGTCCTCTAAGGTACATATTATCCTCATTTTACAGACAGGAACTAAAATCATAGACATACATTTACTCTCTTGAACAAGTACAACTGCTAAGTGGAAATCAAGTCTGAAAGAGTATGCTCCCCACCACTGGATTTAAGAAGGATAAGCAAAAAAACAAAACAAAGAGAAGGATAAGCAATTTTCAGTTGGCCTTGTTTATGTTATGCTGATTTGCAAAAATTTCTTTTATAAAATAGTACTAAAAATCAAATCCACATGTGATCTCTGCAAAGATCATTGGACGGACAGCAGTGGTAGGGATGGAATAAGTGCCTAGAACACTTGCAAAATGGATTGCTTCTACCATTTAGTTAATTTGAAGTAGTTCTGTGCTTTTTAGCTCTTGCAGTTTGTTACCCATGCAGCTACCTTTACCCCCAGCCTGCCAGAACATTGCGTTTCCATGAACAGATGAAGTGCTTACACATTCATAGACTGAGACGCCAAGAATTCAGTTGGGTTCTCTCGTTGCTCCAAGCAGATTTCTGCCCTCTCAGCCATGACAACTTAGGCTGGGCTTTGAATACTGATGGCAAGCCTTTTTATTATTAATCAGGAATTTGTATGAATTAATTTAAGAACTTAAGGGAGATGGGAGCTTAAAATCAGAATCACACTTAACATCCTGAACAAAATAAATGGTACTGCTTCATGACATTTAAAGCTGTAGCATATAAAACAATTTGAAATACCTTGGTGATGGACTAAAAGTATATAACCTCAAAATTAAGTTTCTAACTAAGTACTTTTAAGCCCTTATCAGTAAAAAGATATTTGCTTATTGTAAGTTGGATAACAATTATAGTTTTGAAAGGAGATTCAGTTCTTTTTTGTGTTTATTGGATATTTGAACTTGAGATATCTCCCTACTGATTGCCTAGTATTTGGGGGATGGAATATGTTTTTATTTAAAATGTTCATCTGGCAGGTTTGACCCAATTTTAGTCTTGCCCTTTGATGACTAAAAATTGCATTTATTGTACTTTAAATTTGCTATGAGCACATAAAGAAGTTTAATTATAGTCATAAAATGATAAGCTACATTTGCATCCCCACACATTGAATAAAAACAATGTTCTTACATTCTATTGTATTACCTGAAATGCATATATTTGAATCTAACTACCATAGTATATGAACAAGTATTTGAAATGCCTTTTAAATAAAGTGTATTTATATTTCATAATGAAGTTGTTTTATTATGCATAAGTATAGTTCCTCATGTATATCTTTTGTTCATTTAAGTTATAATTACTACTAATATAGTAAGGCATATACTTCTAATTTGAGAAAATTACTTGGTGTTTCCTACTGATACAATAATTGGAACATTGTCTATATTTCACATAATAGAAAAAAGTTTTGTAGTTCTATTTACTATTCAGGAAACTACCTATATATCAGATGTTTCAAGTTCCAAGTTTATAGCACCATGGTATTATATGTACTGATTTTTTTAATTACAATTTTTATTATATTTTTTAACCATGTACAAAATGCATGGAAATTGAGGTAGAGAACATGAAAAGTAAAGGAGAAGATCTTAAAACCTATGTCTTTTTTTAAAT